ACTTCGAAAACTGTTATGCGATTTTGGCGAGTTTCGCTCGGCCTTTTATACTCGCCAGTCTGGCAATTTCTTGGAAAACCCCCATAATGTCGAAATATAATATTATCGTATAAATTCGTAATTAGACATTAATTGTGCAAATGAACGATTTAACTACATTATTAATATCGCATTCTACATAATGGTTTATATTCCTAATATAAAAATAATAATTTAATAGTGTTTTAATGAAAATTGCATTTTCTATCTTCTTCTATACACTACGCACGACTTCTATACGGATCGGAGCTAAATGTATAAACATACGATGCTTCTAGAACATTCCATGGAATAATATTATAATTTACAATATATACTGCAATAAACTAACATCTGGTAAATTTTTAATTTTCAAATTTATAAATATTCTGATTCGTAAATGTTAGTATGTTCGTTCGAAATACGCGGCAATCATCGCGTGGTAAGGTTAATATCGATATTGCAATGTTCTTTTGTGTTTTTTGGTGTTCGTGTCATTGCACGTTGCAAGGTTCCTCCTTCTCTTCCTGGCGATCACGCGGATCGGACGCGTCGACTACACTTCTGCGTATAACAATTTTATATTTGCGTTCCACGACCTTTTCTATATTTTAATATATATATAAATCATAGTCCTTAACAGGTTATGGGTCCAGGCTATCGTGAAAAGTGTAAAAGTCGGTAAAAGTCGCGAAAAATATCCGAGAAACGCGTGTGCACGTGGCCGCGAATAGGTTAAAACATTTTTCGAACACGTGGAACATAACCGAAGTGCAATAATGAATGCCGTACGTATCGAAACGCTTTCGAAAGACAATTATTATACATGGAGAATGCAAGTGGAAGCGTTGTTAGTAAAAAACGATGCGTGGGGTTATGTGAGTGGCGAAAAAGCGGAACCGAAGATCGTCGTAGGGGACGCCGCATCGTAAGCTGCCCGAGATGCATGGACCACAGGCGATAGAAAGGCCAAATCGGACCTGATTCTGTCGATCAGTCCATCAGAGTTGAAGCAGATTAGAGGCTGCGAGACTGCAAGACAGGTATGGTTGAAATTAGAGTCAATATATGCCTCGAAAGGGCCGGCGAGGAAGGCTACCCTTCTAAAGCAATTAACATTGCATCGCATGAAGGAAGAGGAGGATATTAGAGAGCACGTGTCAAAATTCTTCGACGTTGTAGATAAGTTAGAAGCGATGAATGTCGAGATAAACCGAGATTTATTGGCCATTATGTTATTATATAGTTTGCCAGCAAGTTTTGAGAACTTCAGATGTGCGATTGAATCAAGAGATGAGCTGCCAAGTCCAGAAACTCTCAAAATCAAAAATTATCGAGGAGAGTGATGCGCGTGCGCAGACAAATAAGTCGAATATTCAGGGCGCAATGGCGGTAAACCACGCAAAATGGAAGCCAACTATGAGATCTAACAAAAACGAATCGAGGAAACCAAGAACAGGTAAATTCTCTTTTAAATGTTATAGATGCCATAAAGTAGGTCACAAGGCATCGGATTGCAAAGACAGAGTAGAGAAAAGTCAGGATCAGTCGAATAAGGCAGACGGGAATTCGATTGGGTTTTATGCTGAAGCATCGGTGGCTCGGAAGAATGAAATTAAGAGCGATAACACCGATCGAGTATGGATATTGGACAGTGGCTGTACATCGCATCTCTGTGGAGACATAAAACAATTTAGCAAGGTGAATACGTCTGAAAAGGGAATAATTAATTTGGCAAACTCGGCGTCTACCGCAATACAAGGAAGAGGACTTGTGAAAATTGCCACGCAAGACAAGGATAAAATAAGGTCGGTAGAGTTTAATGACACGTTATATGTCCCAGATTTGAGAGTCGATTTAATCTCTGTATCCAACATCACGAAAAAAGGTTACAAAGTAACTTTTAAGAATGAATCAGCTGTTGTAACAGACAGAAAAGGAAACATCAGTTTGATAGCACAAAGAAAAGGTGATCTATATTATGTCCGAGAAAAGGTCGAATGTGCAAAAGTAGCTGATACGGAGAGATGCAGTGACGCCTACAAATGGCATAGGCGATTGGGACACCTAAACGGCCGAGATTTGGCAAAAATAATGGAAGAGACTGGAAAAAATGGCAATATGATAAAAGAAGCCAAAGGGTTAACCATATGCCAGGTATGTATGGAAGGGAAAATGAAAAGTACCCCCTTTCCAATGGGAAATACACCGTGTAATGAGAAATTGAGAATTATACATTCAGATGTGGTCGGTCCGATGAGAACTATCTCGAATGGAGGTGCAAAATTTTTCGTAACATTTATAGATGATAGCACGAGATGGTGTACAGTATATTTCCTAAAGCACAAGAGTGATGTACTTGATGCGTTCAAGAATTTTAGGAATTTAGTTCAAAATCAGACTGGAAAAAGGATAAAGTATTTACAATCGGACAACGGTCGAGAATTTTGTAATAAAGAATTTGATTGTTTTCTCAGGGATTCAGGGATCGAAAGGAGACTCACTATTGCACATACTCCACAGCAGAACGGAGTTGCAGAGAGGATGAATCGAACTCTTCAAGAAATGGCGAGATGTATGTTGATGGAATCAAAAATGTCAACCTCATTTTGGGCCGAAGCTATAGCAACGGCGTGCCATGTTCGGAATCCATGCCTTACCAGTAGTCTGAATGGTGAAATCCCATATGAGAAATGGATCGATAAGAAATCAGATATTAGTCATCTGAGGGTGTTTGGATCGGAGGTGTATATTCTGGATAAAACCCCTGGCAAGGATAAGTTTGCAGCAAGATCTAAGAAAGGTATATTTGTCGGTTACCCGTGTGAATCAAAGGGATATCGTGTATGGGTACCGGTCGAGCATAAAGTAATTGTCGCACGTGATGTTAAGTTTCTCGAGGATAAAGAAGTTAAAAAGAGAAACGAAGTGAGAATTGATAGGCCTGATTTAGAAGATAAAATGGATGACCATAAGGAACCTAAACGAGAGCATTTTATAGAAATGGAGGAACGTATCTCGAGTGATAATGTATCATTACAGGAAGCAGATGAAGAAGATGGATATTCCTCAGGTCCGCAATTGCAGACTGAAGTATATTCGAGAGTCCAAGGTAGACCACGAATTATCAGAAGTGGTAAACGGGGACGTCCTAGGAAGGAATACCAGAAAGCTGCGAATCCTGGCCCTAGTCGTGTATAAGAGGAAAACGAAAGGGAAAATGAACAGGATGATACAGACAATGAAGAATTCCTGGATTGTGCAGATGTTGCTGAGGTATCAGTAGAAGAAGCAATCACCGGAGAACAAGGAGAGGAATGGCAAGAGGCTATCATTTCTGAAGTAGTCAGTCTTATCAAACACGATTCACTAAAAATAATAAGGCGACAAGAAGAAGACAATCTGATCGGAAGTAGGCTAGTATCGACGAATAAGTATGGTCCAGATGGGAAGATCGAACGCAGGAAGGCAAGAATTGTGGCAAAAGGTTACAGCCAAATTTATGGAATGGATTTCCATCATACTTTTGCTCCTGCGGCAAGACTAGGATCGGTACGTATTTTAATGGCTCTAGCGGCAAAAATGAAGTTATAGATCAGACAATTTGATATCGCTACGGCGTACCTGAATGGACATCTGGAGGAAAGGATCGTCATGGAGGTTCCTACATTATTTCGAGAGACTCTTTCAAAAATTGTACAACGAGAGGGAGAAGGATCCATGATTGGGAGGAAGGCGAAAGAGGTGCTAAGGAGTCTATCCTCTGGTGGGAATGCCTGTTTGTTGAAGAAGGCGTTGTATGGCTTGCGACAGGCTGGTCGTCAATGGCATGCGAGGTTGGATGGTAAACTAAAGGAAATGAATTTAGTTCCAACGGCAACAGAACCATGCTTGTACCACGCTAAGAGAAATGGTAACATATTATTAGTTATAATATATGTTGATGATATTCTTGTGGCTTCCCAGGATCCTGAATGGGTGGATGAGTTCAAAAGAGGTCTGCAGGAAGATTTTGAGATTAAAGATCTCGGTTTAGCTACGTATTGTCTAGGTCTAGAGATAAAACAGTAAGGGGGACAAGGTGGAGTAATCGAACTGTCTCAGAGAGGTTACATCCTAGACATTCTGAGGAAATTCAAAATGGAGCATTGTAATCCAGTAGCGACGCCTGCAGCACTTGGAACTGTTTGGTCCACGAAAGAAGATTCAGAAGAGTCGAACATCACTAGGCAGTGGCCCTATAGAGAGCTGATTGGAGCTCTGATGTATTTATCAGTCGCTACGAGGCCCGATATAGCGAATACGGTAGTAAAACTGTCGCAATTTAATACGAAACCGGAACACCAACATTGGATAGCTGCGAAAAGGGTATTAAGGTATTTAAAGGCGACGATGAACTTCAGTTTAGTCTATCGTGCAGGCGACGGATTAGTTGAGGGATATTCGGACGCAGATTGGGCTGGTTGTACGATAGATCGTAGGTCGTATTCGGGATATGTTTTTATGTTAGGAAACGCGGCTATATCGTGGCGATCGCAAAAGCAACGTGTGGTTGCATTGTCATCTACCGAAGCGGAATACGTTAGTCTAACCGAAGCGGCGAAAGAGGCTTTACATATACAGGCTTTGTTTCGGGAGTTAGATTTTAAGGAGGCGGCGTGTGTAACTTTATTTGTAGATAATCAAAGTGCGATACGTCTTGCGAATAACTCCGTATTCCATTCACGAACGAAACACATTCACTTGAGGTATCATTTTGTACGCGAGGTTGTAAATGCGAATAAGTTAAAAATAGAGCATGTTCCCTCAGGCGATATGACAGCGGACATTTTGACGAAAACTCTACCTCTGAGTAATCACAGTAAGTGTGTTAACATGTTAGGATTAGTTAACGTAAGTGCGTAATTGTAAGAAGCGCGTTGATTGAGGGGGAGTGTTAGTATGTTCGTTCGAAAATACGCGGCAATCATCGCGTGGTAAAGTTAATAATGATATTGCGTTGTTCTTTTGTTTTTTGGCGCTCGTGTCGATGCACATTGCATAGGTTCCTTCTTCTCTTCCTGGCGATCACGCGGATCGGACGCGTCGACAACACTTCTGCGTATAACAATTTTATATTTGCGTTTCACGACCTTTTCTATATTTTAATATATATATATATAAATCATAGTCCTTAACAATAATATTAGTACGCTTGATATGTATCGACTGATTTGTTTAAGTAATGGTTTTTAATAACTAATAATATCCTAATTTTAAAATATATTTTAATCCTTCTCTAGGATTACGCGAGAATACCAGGAAATTCGGGGCGAGCATCGTGGCACGTAGGCACATAGCATTACGGAATTTTCCATGTAGAATTATACATTTATTACAATAGCTACAAAATAGTATATTAATTTTGTTTTTAATTGTTTTAACTTAACTTGATTATCTTCGTAAACTACATTATCCTTTCTAAATTGAAAATATAAAATAATTATTGAAAATAAAAATAAATATATATACTTGATTACCAACCGTCGAAATTAAATACATAAGCTTGATAGATAACATACTGTCGGTAATAGATTTGTTCGGTAAATGTTCGGTAATCGGTGAAAAGGACTGTGAAAATCGGGGGGTTTTCAATAACCCGTTCAAGTAAATTTTACACAGTTTATTAAGCCACACAAAAAAAACACAAAACGAAATTGCACACACTTCACGCACACGACGACACGACGAAGAAATTATTAGAAAGTATAATCGAAATTGTAGTTCGGTTTCGCGCACCGCGTATTTACCATGCAGGATTATCGTGTCTTGTGTTGACAAAGGTTGGCTTGGTACTCTCCCTCGCGAGGGTCGGGCGATCACTTAAATTCGGGAATCCACGGTAATTGTCGTCATGAGGGCCCAATCAGCTGTTGCTTATTAGACATGACGACGACGGGAACCAATAAATTTCATACCGGTAACGGGGGGGTTCTCGGTGTCTCTCGATCCTTCGAGAACGCACCGAAAGAGATCTTCCGGTGCGTCCAGGAGAACAAGAGACAGAAAACTTCACGGTTGGGATTTGAATTCAGGGATCGCCCTCTCCTACTTGCCTAGATACGGAACATACCGCCCGCGTTGAATCACGGAGGGATTAAAAAAAAATTACGATTAGGGTCAACGCAACGCGACACACTCATACCGCATCACATCATCGCTCGCCAATATATTGCGTTCGTTCAGCTAGCTCATGGTTCGAAGCCGTAAATATAAACATTAAAGAGCTTCGATTAGACAAGGGAAGAGCGATGAGAGGAAATAATCGCGGTATCGGTAGTTCTAAGGACAAACGGGGCTCTCAGCTGATCGACGGTTGTACAATACGTATTTACATTTATATGACGCAGGTTGGTGGCACTCACAAACCCCGGAGTGCATTATCGGGGAAAAAAGGGGAGGCGCCGTTGCCCGCCACATTGGGAAAGGAGACTTTTATCGCATGCTACAGTATTCGGACTCGCAATTTTAACAAAATTTTGATCGAACCCGGAGAAAGCGATCACGTTTTTTCGATTTTCGTTTTCGATTCCTCTTTTCGTTTCCGATTCCTGCTGTTTATATGCCTCAGCGGAATTATCGTCGGAACTGTTTCCTACGGGGAGTTTACACAACTGCGTAATCGGTCGAATAAGCGTATTCGCGGCGGTTCGTATTCGCACAGATCGCACGAGACCTTCGTAATCGGAAAAACATTGGATTACGCGACCGAGATGCCATTTCGCAGGAGGGATTGACGGTTCTTTAATAAGCACAAAATCGTTCGGTTGGAGATTCGGACAGCGCTCGCGCCATTTCGATCGTTGTTGTTTGTTGCAAGGAATGTAGGTAATCCTGCGACCATAATTTCCAAAATTGCTCATACTTTTGACGCATGAGTTTCCAGCGAGTTAGCCGGTTTTTTGGTACGTCCCATACTGATGGCATGGGAACGGTTTTTAACGCGGTACCAATTAGAAAATATCCTGGCGTGAGCGCATCGAACGAATCAACATCGTCCTTCATTTGAGAGGGGCCAGAGGTCGAGAGTTGAGGCAAGCTTCTATTTTGGTGAGAAGAGTTACGAATTCTTCCACCGTAGGGGTGGACGCGCCTAATACTCGTTTTAGGTGATGTTTCACAATCTTGACCCCTGCCTTCCATAGTCCTCCGGAATGGGGAGCTGCCGGGAAATGGGGAGCTGCTCCAAAATGAGGAACGTCCAATTTATAGAGTCCTTCAAGAGATGACCCCGGAACTCATCGCTGGCAGTGACGGCCGCAAATGCGTCACGAAGTTCGCGCTCCGTTCCGTGAAACGTGGTGCCGTTATCTGAACATAAGAACTCCGGAAGTCCACGACGAGAGGAAAATCGTTCAAGCGCTGCTATAAACGCGTGCGCGGAGTAGTCGTGGATGAGCTCAAGGTGAATCGCACGCGTTGCGAGACACACGAACACCGCGATATAAGTCTTAATGGTCGTTCGTCCACGACCGGACGTCGGTCTTACTCGGATAGGGCCTGCGGAATCTACCCCACAGTGCGAGAAGGGGCGCGAAATTCGAATTCGGGGCTTGGGAAGACTGGCCATGAATTGATGCTCCGCGGCGGCGTCCTCTCAGACACATCGAACGTATCGGTGAATGTGAGTCCGTACTAGATTTCTGGCCCCTAACACCCAATATCGTTCTCGAAGCACGCGAAGCATCAATTGCACTCCGCCATGGAGGGTGTCACGGTGCACCTGGGAAATGATGACCTCGGAGAGTCGACATTTGGGAAGCACAACTGGATGTCGAGCGGGAAAAGGAAGTTCGGATAATCGGAGACGGCCACCTACTCGGATGAGACCAGACGAATCTAGGAAGGGGTCGAGAGTGCGGAGTGGAGATCCTGCGGGAACGACCTTGGCTGATTTGAGCGACTTGAGTTCCACAGCAAATGCTTCGCTTTGAACTTGTCGTATTAAGAAGCTATGACTTGACACTTCATCGAGCGATAAACAGGAGTCAGTGCTGGCCACGTCTCGATATTGACATCGCGTAATAAAACGACGTACGTACGCGGTGATGCGCAGAAGGCGCGGCCACGAGGAAATACGGTCGGGCAAGTCCCATTGCACTTGACTACGATGGGCAGTTATTGGTTTTGTTGCGGGATGTATTGGCTCTCGATAGTGCGCGGGGTGGTCCTGCTTCGGCCATGATGAATGATCCAAAACTAGCCAGGAAGGACCTTGCCACCACAATGTGAAGGTCGAAAACTTGACGGAAAGGAGACCGCGAGAGGCGCAGTCTGCAGTGTTGTCTTCGGACGGAAGATGCTTCCAACACTCTATTGGCAGCTCAGTTTGAATCGCGGCGATTCGATTAGCGAAAAAAATTTTAAAGGTGGAGGGAGGTTTCTGTAACCAACATAAAACGATGGTAGAGTCGCTCCAGTAATGAATGGAGGTGACTTCCAACGGAAGTGATTGCAGGGTGCTCTTGATACAGCGCATCAACAGTGTTGCAGCACACAATTCGAGACGAGGGATGGTAAGAGTTTTTACTGGCGTGACCTTCGTTTGTGCGAGCACTAATTGTGCGCGTCGCCCAGTCGGAGTGTCAACTACCAAATACACTACTGCCGCGTAGGCGTGTTCCGATGCATCGCAAAAGCCGTGCAGATGAATATTTCGTGTGGCATTTTCGTACCCTGACCATCGGGGTATCGAGAGGTCATTCAGGTTTGGTAATTGTTCATAGAAGGTGAGCCAACGTGACGCAAGCTCTTCAGAAAGACTCTCGTCCCAACCTATTTTGAACTTCCACAAGTCTTGTAGAAGAATCTTTGGAATTAAGATGACCGGTGCTAGCCAACCAAGCGAGTCGAAGAGATGAGCAACGAGGGATAAAATTCGCCGTTTGGTAGGGGTTTCCCATGGCGGAAGAGAAACGTGAATTGTAAATTCATCTCGTGCGGGATTCCAGCACAGCCCTAGCACCTTCAATTTCGATTCAAGGTCAAAAGAAACGTGAATTTTAAATTCATCTCGTGCGGGATTCCAGCACAGCTCTAGCACCTTCAATTTCGAGTCAAGGTCAAATGGACGTTCGAGCACAAATCCATGATTGGCAGGATCGACTCCAGTGAGGATTTCAGGGTCATTACTGGCCCGTTTTCGGAGAAGAAATCCGCCCCGCGCTAGACAGTCCGCGGTTTGATTCCTTTTTTCGAGAGCGTCCTGGATCGTATCTGCGCCCGACATTATGTCGTCCACGTAACGGTCATTTCGTAAGGCTGGAACCGCGAGGGGGAAATTGGAGCCTTCATCCTCCACTAACTGGTAGATAACCCTTTGTGCTTGATATGGGGCTGAAGTTGTTCCATAAGTGACCGTGCGAAGCTGATAGGTTTGCATGGGCTCAGATGGAGCAAATCGCCACAACATCAGCTGGTATGACTGATCTTCGGGATGTATTAGGATTTGCCGATACATTTGTGCAATGTCGGCAGAAAAAACGTATTTCCATTGGCGCCAACGGAGAATAAGAGACACAAGTTCCGATTGAAGTTTGGGACCTGGGAGAAGATAATCATTTAATGATTTCCCATTTTGCGTAGGCGCCGAGGCGTTGAACACAACGCGGAGTTTGGTGGTGAGACTGTCCACTCGAGTTACGCCATGGTGCGGGAGGTAAACAGTCTGTCGGAGGCGGAGGGACGGATCAACGACATACATATGACCTGACTGGAGATAATCCTCCATGAAGGCAGTATATTGAGCTCGTAGATCGTCCGATTTGGAAAGTCTTTTTTCAAATCGATGAAGAGATGACAACGCGATTGAGCGAGATTCGCCAATATCAATAGGGGGGCCTACTCGAAAGGGAAGACGCACCACATACCGTCCAGTGGGCGTTCGGGAATAAGTCGCTGCGAAGTGGGCCTCACATTGTTCCTCCTCCAGCGACAGAGTGGAACCGGAAACGGGAAGGGCCTCCACCTCCGAGAAACGCTTCAAGGTATCGTTCATGTTAAAGTAAGCGAAAAATTCATGCCCAAATAAGGTAAAGTTCTGGCCGTTGACTAGGGTTATAAATCATGCCGGGAAAAACCCAGGGTCATCTATGCAGTCGTGTCTTATTGCTGACCTTTTTTTTTGACAGCTTGACCGTTTTCGTTCAGTTCGACAAGCGAGTCGGTATAGGCAGGACATACCTGGTACAAAGTCTGTTACACACATTTCTTTTAATATATTAGTTCAGTATTTTTAAACTGTTTGTTTCGTTATTTAACAATCCCATCTACGTCATAACCTCAACAGTTCAACTCGGACAGACTTGAGTGGTGAACGTGAATCGGTGGTCGCGGATTTTTTAAGTGAATCGATCCGGAAAGGATCCAACCGAAAATGGAGCGTTGGGCTAACATGGTTCCGGTAGGATTTTTACGGATTCCGTCTAGCATAATTGAAGCATACAGATCTGCTCCAATCAGCAAGTCAATCGGTGCGGATGAGAATGGATCTGGATCCACAAGGGAAAGATCCGCGCAAAAGGAAAATGTTATTGAGAGGGGGATTTGGTCGGGAACATACGAGGTAATTCGGTAACACGAGAGCGTGAGCGAACATGGACGAGGATTTATCGGATGGTCGTAATCGGAATTTTACGATAGAATTAATGTCGTCTGCAGGTTTGCCGCCAATGCCAGTGATACGAGCCGAAGTCGCTTCTAGGTTAAGCCGAAGGGTTTGTACTAAGGATTCCGAAATGAACGTTGCATCGGACCCTTGATCGAGGAGTGCATGAACGGTCGCGGTTCATCCCGATATAGACTCGACGGTCACCCACGCAGTCGCAAGCAGAACACATCGGGTTTTACGCGGAATTTCGGCGTGAGCGGAGTGGGTGGTAATATTCTCTTGTGTCGACGAAGTTTTCGCCTGATCGCTCGAGGTTTTCGTCAAGTCCGAACGCGAATGTGCGGATTGAC